CACTTTTCCGCCAAATTTTGAGAAAATCTTCGAAAATCTCGCTTTTGGGAGCTTTTGCTCCGGGTGAATCCGATTTTTCTCTCCAGATTGTAAGCGTGAGTGCGAGAGGGACATTGCGAAAGGAAGCTGTACGGCGATGACTTGGGCAAGACAAACTTTTGGCACGATATGATCCACTTTTCCGCCAAATTTTGAGAAAATCTTCGAAAATCTCGCTTTTTGGAGCTTTTGCTCTGGATGAATCCGATTTTTCTCTCCAGATTGTAAGCGTGAGGAGAGTGACATTGCGAAAGGAAGCTGTACAGCGATGACTGGGGCAAGACAAAATTTTAGCACGATATGATCCACTTTTCGGCCAAATTTTGAGAAAATCTTCGAAAATCTCGCTTTTTGGAGCTTTTGCTCTGGGTGAATCCGATTTTTCTCTCCAGATTGTAAGCGTGAGTGCGAGAGGGACATTGCGAAAGGAAGCTGTACAGCGATGACCGGGGCAAGACAAAATTTTAGCACGATATGATCCACTTTTCCGCCAAATTTTGAGAAAATCTTCGAAAATCTCGCTTTTTGGAGCTTTTGCTCTGGATGAATCCGATTTTTCTCTCCAGATTGTAAGCATGAATGCGAGAGTGACATTGCGAAAGGAAGCTGTACAGCGATGACTGGGGCAAGACAAAATTTTAGCACGATATGATCCACTTTTCCGCCAAATTTTGGGAAAATCTTCGAAAATCTCCCTTTTGGGAGCTTTTGCTCTGGGTGAATCCGATTTTTCTCTTCAGATTGTAAGCGTGAGTGCGAGAGTGACATTGCGAAAGGAAGCTGTACAGCGATGACTGGGGCAAGACAAAATATTAGCACGATATGATCCACTTTTCGGCCAAATTTTGAGAAAATCTTCGAAAATCTCGCTTTTTGGAGCTTTTGCTCTGGGTGAATCCGATTTTTCTCTCCAGATTGTAAGCGTGAGGAGAGTGTCAGGTTAAAGGTCTGCAGGTCCTTTACCTGATGTGTAGCGGTAAGTACAAGAGTCTTATTTACTAATATTTATTATTTAAGATAAATAGAGGGGAAATGGGGAAAAGGGGAAGAAGCCGCAGGGGCAACCTGCGGGTAGCGGTCGTCGGGGGTCACTGTCCTCCAGCGGGCTTTACAGCCCGCTCCAAGAGGAGGGACAGCTGATGTGGACCCGACATCTCCATTCCTTCGAGAAGCTCGTCCTCGAGCTTGTGGCATGGCTGAGGTTTCGAGACGTTGTAGTGGTTGGCGTTGATGTGGTGGATGTTCTTCCGAGTGACGTGCGTTGAAGTGTGCACGTAGTTTACGGCGAGAACATACAATTGAAGTGCGATATATCGAAATATGGCAGAAGTTCTTCCGGGTAACGTGTGTTGGAATTTACACGTGATTTACGGCGAGAACATACAGTTGGCGTAATGATATGTTAAAATACATACAGAAGTGAGGATATGGATCCGGTGGACTGCGAGCAGACACGACCTTCACCTAGAATATCCTATGGCGTTGAGTAAGATCGTCCTCGAGCTTGAAGGTAGCTGAGGAGAGGGGGAGGAACTGCGGAGAGATGCAGTTGATGTAATTGGGGTTCCCGACGTGATGCTGGGAAGGAGTTGGAATGGAATTGTAGGAAATGGAGATGGACCGATTGATTTTAGGGCATGGTGAAAATGGAGGTGATTGAAGGCCAAATGGTTTAACATTTGGGGTGGAATTTACAGCATGTAGAAAATTATAGCATGAAATTACTGAACATACGAAGTAGAGGGTATGACGAATAAAACTGGTTAACAGCAAAATGATTTTAAGGTAATAATAATGGTAAATTAATGATAAATGCATGATACATATACGCAGATAAATTTTAACAGTAATTTCTAGACAATTATAAAACATAATTTTACAGTGGTTTTACAAAATTACAAAATTTTGTTCACAGTGACATTTTCTGTGAATAATTGCATGTAAAACAAAGGCGTAACGAGTTTCGTATGTTGAATTGGGCACTGCACACTTTGTTTTCATTCAACATAAGGGCAAAATTTGTTTGTGACAAAAAGGTTTTTGATGTTGAGCTGCCTAGTGCGAAAGATTTCTTTGAATTGCCTGTTCAAAGAAAATTTTAAGAGACGTAAATACGCGACGGTGCAGCAAAAATAGGGGAAACAAACTGACCTTAGAAAATGAATAACTACTCATTGCAAAATATCAAATGGATATAAAAAATTTAGCGAGCAATTATTCATCCTCTCCTTCGGAATCGATGTTTGGATCCGCTGTAAATGATTTCTGCAGTTGCAAACGAGGAGTTCGTTTGGCAAACTGAGTTTGTTCAACATTTTCTGGAGTTTCCGTTGGCTTTTGTGATATAATGAGTTTTTGGGGGGAAACTCTAGCCAATGTTGAACTATGCGAATAGATTTTGAGTCTATTCATATGGACACATTGAGTTTTAGTAGGTCCAATCAAGTTAGTTATAGTGACATTCGGACGATCGACTTGCACAACTATAAAAGGGCCTTTCCACTGGTATGTAAATTTTGGACGAATAGTGTCGTCTCTTAGTAAAACTAAATCTCCAGTGGAAATTTCCTTAGAATAAACTTTATTATGGAAATCATAACCTGACTTATACGTCGCTGTTTTGCTGGCGATCTGGTTGCCAACTTCCATAATTGTGGTTTGCAGTGCAGTGGTCAGCTGGTCCGTGAAACTATCAGTTGCGTAGGATATCCTCGAGGGTAACTGATGGACTATGTCGCACCAGGTAATCGGGTGACGTCCATACGCAACAAAGTACGGACTATAACCTGTGGTGTCATTGATACTAGTGTTGTAGGCGAAGACGATCGGCTGTAAGAAATCAGACCAGAGTTCCTTGACTTCTGCGCAATAAGCCGTTAGGGAGTCTGTTATTACTTTAACCATCCTTTCGACCTGGCCGTTCGCTTTGTGGTTGTAACTAGTAGTGAAATTGTTGGAAATGCCCAGTATGCGGTTCATTTTCACAAACATTTCACTAGTGTAATTAGAACCACGATCGGACACTAGTTCGTTAGGTATTCCGTGTTTGGCTATGACGTCGTTTATCAAAGCCTTGACAACAAAATCTGTTGTCTGGTTGGGGATTGGAGTACAGATTATCAGCTTACTAAAGGCACAAACGGTAATCGAAATAAATTTGTTACCGTCGATACATTGCGGTAATGGGCCAATTATGTCAGTATGCAACCGTTCAAAAGGTCTTTGAGGGATTGGGAATGAACCCAATTCCTCTCGAATGATATTACCGGATGGTGTTTTGATTTTCTGGCATGTGGGGCATTTTCTTATAAATTTGGCGACTTTATTTTCTAACTTATCCCAAAAATATTTAGCTGAAATGGCTTTCATAGTTTTTCGTACGCCTAGATGTGAGCCTAAAAGTGGATTGGTGTGGAAAATTTCAATAATTTTATCTTGAAGTATACTATCAGGGATAACTAATCGAGATGTGTTATGGAAAGTGTAGTAAAGACAGTCGTTATAGAAGGAATATCTGCCCAACGTGTCAGAAAATTTTGGCGGTGGAATATCTAATTCGCCTTTTAAAAATTTGATAAGATCTCCATAAATGGAATTCTTCTGAGATTGCTGAATTTGGTCTAGTGTAGGCAATGTATTGATCTGCACTGAATTTGTACTCACAATCGGGTAGCGACTTAGAAAATCGCATAGAGTGTTGTGCTTTCCAGCACGGTACTCAATCTTGATATCGTACGCTTGTAAGGTTATTTGATACTTAGCGAGACGACCCACGAGATCTGACCTATGCATTAAAGATTTTAATGGTGCGTGGTCAGTTATCAAGGTAATGGAACTATTCGCGACATAAGGATAAAAGTGTTTCAAGGCAAAAACTATTGCCAGGGCTTCTAACTCTATGATCGCATAATTCTTCTCGTGTTTTGTTAAGGGGCGGCTGCAATATGCTATGGGGTGCTCATTACTAGTTTCCGGATTAACTTGTAAGAGGCATGCGCCGAGACCGATGGTTGATGCATCGGTGTGGATAATGTAGGGGTTTCCTAACATGGGAGGTACTAAAACAGGCGCTTCCACTAGAGCTTGTTTTAGTGCTTGGAATGCTTTTTCATGATCCTCCTTCCAGTTAAACGCTGCATCTTTTATGAGAAGATTGTTCAAGGGGTTTGCTGTTATCGCAAAACGGGGGATGAATCTTCGAAAGTAAGATGCGGCTCCTAGAAATGATTTAAGCGCTTTGGTGTCCGTGGGGCGTGGAATTTTTCGTATACTATCTACCTTTTTGGGATTAAGGCGGGTACCATTTTTACTTATTAGTACACCCAGATACTGCACTTCAGATTGAAAAAATGAGCACTTTTCAGGAGTTAGTTTCATCCCAAAGTTTTGTATGCGCGTGAAAACTTCTTCCAAATCGCAAAAATGTTCGGGTACATTGGAGCTAGCGATTATGATATCATCAATATACGCAAAGCAACAAGCTTTCAATTCTCTAATTAAAGAATTTGCGACTCGTTGAAAAGTTCCTGGTGCACCTTTTAATCCTTGCGCCATGACAGTAAATTGAAATAAGCCTATGAAAGAGGAAAATGCAGTGCGTTCCTTGTGCTTTTTCTCTAAAGGAATTTGAAAAAAATCCGCTTTTGAAATCAAGGACACTGTAAATTTCTTTGCCACTAGCAAGATCTAAAATATCTTGCATATGTGGTATGCAATAGGTTTCAGTTTCTGTGATAGCATTGATTTGGCGATAGTCAACAGTAAAACGCCACTGATCCTTATTGGATCCTTTCTTTACAAGAACTATGGGAGAAGCGAACTTACTGGTGCTTGGTTCAATGATACGAGTACGTAACATTTCATCAATCTGACGCTTAATTTCGTTTCGCTTTTCCAGTGGGACACGATATGGTCTCTGTTTTGGAACTTTAGCATGAGGGACGAAATTGATTCTATGGGTTATGGGACCTCTATATAAGCCTAAATCGCCATCGTGGGTGACAAAACAGGTACGAAATTTTTCCAAAAGTTGAAAAAACTGCAGTTTTTGTTGATTAGTAAGCAATGAATCGTCAAACTGAATCATATCTTCAATGTTGCTGGTTTTTTCAGATGGAAAACAAGGCATGGATTTGCTTACATCTACCTCTGGTGGTATGTATTCCTCAATTTCGAGCGGAGACAAGATACTATCTGAGGAACGTATTGTTGGGTCTACAGAAAATATCGGTGGCCATGTCATATTTTTTCCTACATAATTTGCTTTAGCAATGATTCTGTTTTTCTGAAGTGATAAAGAAGAGGGATTTGTGTTAAAAATGCGTAACACAACTTGATCATTGTTATTTGTGCAAGAAAGAGTTTTTCCGATAGCTAGACCGAATGGTAAGGTTAGTGAAAAATCGTCGTACACTAAAAATTCCCATTTGCTAGGGAAAATCGTATGTAATTTTCCTAAGACGACATTATCAGAATTGGGATTTAAAGTCAAGTCGTCAGCAAGAAATACGGGCGTTTTATAACTACTTGATTCTGGATTGTCTGGAATAATGATTTGTACTGTTGTGTCGTCGAAAGATACCGTTTTCTTACAATAATTGATAGAAACTTTGTTACCAAATTTCGTGATAGAGTCGTTACCTAGCAGAAAATCTGTTGAACAATGATTGTTTAAAACTACATAAGCGGTGATTGGGATTATTTTGTCTACAATAGTAAGTTTTGTCGAAACTTGTCCAATAAATTTAATTGGAGTTCCGTTAGCAGTAATGCCTTCTGATAAAGTGGTAGTAGTAATAATTAATTTTGAAAGATTAGCCATTCGCTCTGATATAATCGTGATGGCTGATCCTGTATCAAAAAGTGCTACGGTGGATAGTTGGTTCAATTTTACCGGAATAAAGATGGTAGACATTGCATGGTACTGAACAGAAGAAACACTAGGTGTAAATTTGGGTATGTTTAGATTCGTTGGTGGTTTAATTGTTTTATGATTAGAAGATGATTGCGTTTCCGGAGTTTCTATACGTACCTCGTCTAAAGCTGGGTAGGCAATTTCTGTTTCTACTGTTTCATCGTTAGCGGAATATTTTACAAGTGGATTACGTCTAAAAGCACGAAGTATCGTCCTAGGAGGGGACGGATGCTGTGGTGCCGTAAGTTCTGGCTTCGTTTTACAGAGTTTGAAAAGGTTTGAAAAAGGTATGATTAAAAATTGAAATGTTGTTTTCATAGCAACGCGAGCTATCGCAAATTGACAATATAAAACAACCAATGACATAGCTATGAGCGCAATGATTATAAAAATGACTATAACTCTTGTAAAATTGTGCAATCCTAAAGAGCGTATAACTTTGTCTTTCTCCATTTGTAAAATATCTGACGCTTTGGATTCTATATAGGAGATAGTTTTAACAGTATCTTTCTCAAAATCTTCTGAATCAGGAGACGATATTGATGGATGTTCCTGATTCGTAAGAGGGACGTCAACATTAGCAAGTCTATTCTTAAGAAATCGAATGTCCGTAGTAATACGCGCTAGATCAGAATGGAATATGGGAGGCGAGTTGAAAACAAAATCTTGCGTAGTAATATCTTGCGGAAGATTAATATGGATTTGTGATACATGTGCATATCCTGTGGGAGATTTATAATGGTTTGTGCCATCGTTATATATTCCAAAAGGAAGATGACCACAGTTCGCTTCAGGACTAGAAGTTGTTAAATCTCTAGTTCCTGGGTTGGCAAAATAAATTGATTTTCCTATACGAACTGGAGTATGAACGTAACAGATACCATTGACATTATGATTCAGATATACTTCATCAACGATAACTTGCTGGCATTTCGAAATCATAAGTACATCTCCCGCCGGTAATGCAAAAATATCATTCCTATTGAGTAAAATACGAGCTGCGCTAGTAGGGTTTATCTCGGCTATGCTACGTATTGCTTGGATTTTAAAGTTTGAGAGTGCACAAATACGATCAAAAAGAAAGTTGTAATCGTGTTTAATAACTTCCTCCATCTTTATTTTCAAAAACTGCATTTTTGTGTTTAACTCATAATGGCGTTGGTCTTGCCGTTGTTCATGAGATAAACTAAGATCATTGTTAAGTATAGTGAAATCAGGTTCAGTATTGATAGCTATGTGCTTAGCTATGGCAGAAGAATTACTTTTTATGTACTTGCTTAAAACCTGATGTTCATCTCGGAAAAGAAGATGGGATAGCCGTTTTTGATTGTATTTATTTGAAAGTCCTCTAGCAGGTCTTTTTAGAGAAACTTTAAAATGAGGTCTCTTAGCTGTATTGAGTGTATCGAAAATATCATACATTGATTTCAGCATTTCGACATGCTCTTCATCCGAAAGTTCTTGATTATTGCTAGTAGAGTTCAGGATATTGTCTCTACTCTGATAAACTGCATTGAACAAAAGAAGCAATTTTGAGGCGTTAATATGTTTTTCATTGATGTCTTTGACTACTTCGGGATATTCAGAAAATATAGTACGTGGATTGTAGTTTCGTATCTCTGGAAGCGAAATAAAGACACCATTATCCATTGGAATGGATTTGTTAGGCAAACACCACTGTGAGCTTTGGAGAAAAGATAGTGTGATATTTTTGTAAGTAAAAGCTGACTGTATATTATCTAAAACTACATGAGTTGGAGTGACGTAAGCAATTCCTTCTGTAGCTTTAACATACTTGCATCTATGTGGATGTCTTTGGTAGTCATAATCCCAAATAACTGTACCATGAGTTAAATTACAGTGACCATTACTAATGCGACAATTGGCCATGTCTCCAAATTGTCCAGTTATAGTAATACCGTCATAAGTAGCAATATCAGCTTTTTCCATGTAAACGTTAGTAGTATACGAGCATTTTTCACCAAAAAACCAAGGATATGAGTAATGAATTGCATTTTGTGAACCGTAAACATTAGGAGATAGAGTTTCCATTGGTTTTCCAAGAAATTTCTTTGTTTGGCTAAGCGTATGACAAAGTGCGGGGTCAACTGGGGTCATATATTCTTCATCGCTGTTCAGTGAAAAAGATATATGAAGGTAAGAAGATGCGCAAATTTTCCTAGTTTTATTAAAACAATGAAAAGCTGGCCAAAGGTATGGTTCAGTGCGTTCTACATAAATTTCCGCAGTAGTTATCATAATACTAGAAGAGTCAGGAGAGTGTGTGCATGATGTTGTCTCTGGGTATGCTACGGGCCAACCAGATTTTCCTGCTGAGCATAGCTGGTAAGTTTGTAAAGTCATCGCAGAAACATTTGGCAAAAGAATCGAAAGTATTGCAACTATAAAGAGTGAATAAGGATAATTCAAAATTCCAGTAGATAAATTTGAAGAAATGGAATTAACTGGTCGTCTTTGTTGGAAACGATTATTTGGTCTATTATTAGAGGGATTCGGTGATTCTCTGCGTTGCCTATTATTCGAAAAATTTGGCGGTGTCCTAGACCTAGCTTGATTACGACTAGATGGTCTAGACTGGTTGCTATCCGGTCTACTAAACCGTTCACGATTGTGCGGTGATCTACTACGAGTTCTGTCAAAACGATTTGTATTTGGCAAAGGTGCAAATGTAACGTTACGATCTCGTCTAGGTACACTGCCGAAAAAGGAATTTGGAGAACGGGCACGCGCATAATCAGTGGATGTTGTTGTATAGTTGTTACGAGAGTATGGATGACTATTACGAGAGTATGGATGACTATTCCTATCCTTACGGGTAAAAGGTCTGTGGACCATATTCACAGAAGATCTAGAAATTTCGATATTGTCCAATATTCGATCCATTTTAGCTATAATCGAATCATTTGCAAAAGATGAAGTGTCAGACTGCGTTAGTTCGTAAATACGTTCAGCTTCTTCAAGTAATTTCTTGTATGTTTTTGGAAGTGGACCTAATAGCTTAAGCTTTTGCTTAATTTGATTGTGCAAGCCTTTCATAAAAATTGTATTTAGTAACCAGTCACGTGTGGCTGCATCACTATCATCTGGATAAGCTTCCAAAATCTGTTGCCTAAGTCTATTCGAAAAGAGAGTGGGAGATTCTCCTGGATTCATTTTCATATCCATCATTCTGTCACGTGCATTATCCAAAAATTGTTCCGTTGCAAAATGAGATTTTAATTTTTGAGTGACAGTATTCCATACTAATTTTTCTTCAGATGGTATGTTATCATACACAGCCTTTGCAACGCCTGTCAAATGAGCTGGAAGAAGGCGAACCTTCTTTTGATCACTTAAACCCATTATTGAAGAAATTTCGCAAAATTGTGTAAGAAAATGCATGAATCCTTTATCTCCTAGGTCTCCCGAAAAAACTGGCAGTTTGTTACAGTAAGTAGAAAGCGTTAACTTATCGAAAACAGAATCTAAATGATCAATAAAAGAAGCTTCGTATTGCCGAACTGCAGCTGCTTGCTGTTGCACAGGAATTGGTTGAATATGATTTTGTTGCATATGCTCATTTGGAACTTCCATGTTTTCTGAGACTAAGTTTTGATTTAGTAACTGATTTGAAAAAGGTGTGATTACTGGCCGAGAAAAATTTAGCGGTGTAAAATGCGGAATTTGCTGTGAAGGTACGAAAATTGGCTGTTTTTCTTGGATTACGGTACTTGAATGTGATTGGTCTAGGTGTACTGTACTTGGAGTTGGTATAAAAGGTCTTGGTTGCTCTTGGACTACTGTAGTTGGGTGCGGGACAAAAGTTGGTACTTGTTCTTGAGGTACTGTAATTGGATACGGTACAAAAGTTTGTGATTGGTTGTGAGGTACTGTAATTGGATACGGTACAAAAGTTTGTGATTGGTTGTGAGGTACTGTAATGGGATGTGGTACAAAAGTTGGTGTCTGTTCCTGGGTTACTGTAGTTGGCTGTGACTCAAAAAGTTGCGGCTGGGTTACGGTAGTTGGGTGCGGTACGAAAATTGGTGGCTGTTCTTGGATTACTGTAGCTAAGTTTTGTTCTTGGGTTACTGTAGCTAAGTTTTCGGTAGAAACTGAAGATTGTTTTTCTTGAAGTAAATTCTTATCCTCAAGTGGAGGCTCTGGAGTTTTAGAAATTAAAGGCTGAGGTGAGTTTGGCTTAGATAATACTTGAGTAGATGTACTTGGCTGAGGATCGACTAGCTGAGGCGACTTTGAATTGGATTTTATCAGCTGAGATGAGTTAGAGCGCGATTTAGTTGGGTTTAGTGTGTTTACGAGTGATTTATCGGAACTAGATGAACTCAAAAGAGGAGAAGAGCTAGAAGATTCTATAGAAGAACTATCGGGAGGGGGTGCACTGCTTGCACGCTGGATTGGACTAGTTGGGCGGCTAGGTTCGTCTTGAACAAGTTGTAATTTATGTGGGATACGCGAGTGTGATCTTTGTCTTCTTTTAATTGAACCACGCGAAGTTTTATCACAAGGCTCAGGAGATTTACTAGAACCACTGCTCATGTAAATCTATCATACACAAAAAAAATTTGTTCGTTGGATTTTTTTTTCAAAAGAAGCGCAGAAAATTTTGAGTTGAGAAAGGAAAAGAAGAAAAAAAAAATTGGGAAAAGAAAACAAAAAAAATTTTTTTTTTCAAAACTTTTAGATTCTACTGAAGTTTAACTTTAATATCAGAAGTCTATCTAGCCCTGAGAGTGGAACGAGAGGAAGAAAATGTAAGAAAAAGGTAAGAAAATTAAGAATCTAGCAATAGAATCGCACCTCTATCCTATTTGTCGTTCGTCCCAGTTACGGTAGATCGATAGGCTTGATTGGTCGCTTGATTACGGTAGATGTGGCTGAGCTGAGGGCTTCGAAGAGAGAGAGAGTTGACGACCGAGCTGGGTGGACACCAAGGGCGGAATGGCTCGGGCTTAGCGCGGAGGGGGCGGGTCAACAGAAAAATTACACTGGGTGGGCGGGGCTAGCCACTACCGTAAGAAAGTGTAAAATTACTGACCTTATGTATTTAAAAATATATATCAATATATATATTCTATAAATACAATGGCATTTAATTATAAATATGAATAAGAATAGTTATAACTAGTTATTGCTGTAGTTGCAGTAAATGGGCCGCTGCTGCCGATTTTTGCCCAATGGCGAAGTCTGCTTCTGGAGGACGCTCTGGTAAGGTAAAATTTACAGCCCTGTGACATGTAAATTTACAACCCTTATACGCCCAAATATTATTGCATAAGTTAGGTCATCATTCTTACTTCTGCTCTTCTTATAGTCAACAGCTCCAAAAAATGCTCTTCTCAGGTTTGTGATTTTAGCCGTCCTATATTATTTCCTGTTTCAGATTCTACCTCAACAAATCCTTCTAAATTCGAAAATGTTCACTTTCGGGAATAACAGCGCTGCCTCGCATGATGCTGAAAGACAGGCCGAGCTTGCAGCTCGTGAAGCTGCAAGGGAAGTGGTAAGGAATTCCTCCACTCCAACGTTGGAGGAATTGGTCCGATCCATCAGCCCATTTTCCGTAAGTTTTTAATTTTTTTTTTATGTAGAGAGAGAGAAAAAAAAATGGAAGAAAAAATTAAATTTATTATTTTATTTCCTGTTTCTGGATTTTGGGGAAAGAGAGGGGAAAAAAAATGAAAATAAGAAAACAATAAAATTATTGTTATTATTATTTTTTTTCCAATCTTACTGTCCAAGGAGAAGAAAAAAAATAAAATCATTTTATTTCATTTTCTCTTACTGTATGCTTTTCGGAGGAGGAAAAAAAAATTGTTTTTAATTCGTCGAAAGAGAGAAAGGGAAAAAAAAATCAAGATTATCCTATCTTATCGAAAGAGAAGAATAAAAATAATTTCACTCTTTTGGAAGTGAAGAAAAAAAAACTTCTGTAGTGTGGTTTTCGAAAAGAAAATGCAAAAGATTATTTTATCTCATTTTTTTTTATCTTGATTAATTGGAAGAAAAGGATTGAATAATTTTATTTTATCTTCTTTGATTCTATTTTATTGTATGCTTTTTCAGCCTGAATGCTTTGGAGAGGATGTGGAGGCGTGTAGTCCTCCTTCCTCTGGAAGAGCGTCGGTGGATTCGGTGGCGTTGTATAACGCCACCGTCAGGGCTGAGTTGCATGCAACTCAGTCCCTGGAACGAATCCAACAGCTCGAGGGGGAGCTGAGCGTCGCCAGGAGGCAGGTTGACGCTCTGCAATGGAGCAGAGGCCTGCATACCAACGAGCTGAAAGAAACGCAGACCCTATGCAGGCAGCACGAAAGGGTATGTTTATTTTGATTAGAAAAATAATAATTTTGATTCAAATTAGGAGAAAAAAAAATTTTTTTTTAAATTCATTTTTATGTAGGAAAAAAAAAATTTTTTTTTTAAATTACGTATATTTAGAACCTCACCCGCATGGTGAGGGATTTACGGGCAGTACACAACGTGCTGCCCAAGGCCCTCGAAACGCATAGGGCCAAGCTGCGCGCCCTGCATCCGGAGGAGGAAGAAGAATTACTCCACCACTTCCTCCAGAAGGGGAACGTGGTGGAAACCTTTATCGAAATCATCACGCACGGTGAAGGCATGGTCCGCGTGACCACCGACCGGGACGAGTTCTTTTTCGGTGGGTTTCTTTTTGTTTTATTATTATTTTTTTTAAATGTAAAACACCAAAAAAAAAATTTTTTTTTTTAATTGGCAGGTAAGAGAAAAAAAATTTTCTTTTCAGCCCCTATGAGGTCGGGCCAGCGAAAGAGGTTCAACCTTCACCGCCCGGACAAACTATGGCGCGCGGACCATCCCTGGGTGCGCGTGCACATGGGCGCATTTCGGATGGTGAAATATGGGCGAGCCGCTCCACTGCCGGAGGATTTCGCCAAATTCCTACTGAGGAATTTGGGGGGGATTTCCGAGGTGCAGTTGGAAAATCTGCACTGCGATCCTCTGAAAGAAGCGTGCAAGGCTCGCGGAAAAAAATACAAATACATCGAGCGGATTTACTAGTGTTTGTAATTTATTTTAATTTATTGCTGTTTTTTTTGAATAAACTACTTATTATAAGTGTGTAATTTATTGTACCAAAATAATGTTGTAATCAAAGTGTAGGCCACAGTTGGTGGGGTCACAGCCGTTAGGAAATATTAGGGGGTCGTAAATAATCCTTGTTGATGCGCGCCGCCAAATTAATTGCTTTATTTAATGTTGATAGCAGTTGCGCTCGTAAATTTCCTGGGGGATAAGCGTGTGTGGACAGTTGCGCGGTTTAAACTTTTCCGGAGGTCAGCATCCAAGCTAGATGTAATAGCAATTCAATTAATTGAAGCGCCTAGCATAAATAAAAATATTTCTGTAGGGCTTAGGTATACCTTAGGTTTAATTTTGAGCTAGCTAAGCGAACAAGTCCATTGTCTGAAACGTAATTACCATTTTTTCATTATTACTTAGACCTAAAAAAAAATTAGAAGAAAAGAAAAATAAAAACTTTTCGAAAATCTCGGATCTCGGATCTCGGTTCTCGGTTCTCGGATCTCGGATCTCGGTTCTCGGGAAAAAATAGCAAGGATTATATTTATAATGACGAAGTAAGAGAGTTTAAAAAAAATTGCGGTTTCAAAAATTTTGCGGTTGCAAAAGGAAAGGGAAAAAAAATTATGGATGTTACTCCAAAAATTTCCGGTTTCAAAAAGAAAGGGGGAAAGAAAATCGAAATCTCGGTTCTCGGTTCTCGGTTCTCGGTTCTCGGGTCTCGGTTCTCGGTTCTCGGATTAATTTATTTTATTAGTTACAAATCTAGATTTAGGAAATTTTTAGATCGACGTTGGGACTGTTCGCAGGACTTTTTTTTTTCAAAGATTAGGTGATTTTTGTACATATTTTATTTTTCTGAAGGGATTAGACATTCTTTTTAGTAGAATAGTGTCGATGTGTGTAAAAAAAAAATACTCACAAATTCGTTCGTTTGTGTCCGTCGACAATTCGTTGGAGACGAAGAAGGAAGGGGGGGGGGGAATAAATTTGCCCAAGAGAAAGTTAATTCTCTTCAAAAAAAAATAATATTTAGAATTCCAAAAATTCGGGGGGTAAAAGGAAGAGAAAAAAAAATTTTTTTTTTTCTTCAAGCTGGGAAAAAAAAAACAGGGGGGGGGGGATAAATTCAAATCTTCCCGGGTCCTCCATGTCAGGTTAAAGGTCTGCAGGTCCTTTACCTGATGTGTAGCGGTAAGTACAAGAGTCTTATTTACTAATATTTATTATTTAAGATAAATAGAGGGGAAATGGGGAAAAGGGGAAGAAGCCGCAGGGGCAACCTGCGGGTAGCGGTCGTCGGGGGTCACTGTCCTCCAGCGGGCTTTACAGCCCGCTCCAAGAGGAGGGACAGCTGATGTGGACCCGACAAGAGTGACATTGCGAAAGGAAGCTGTACAGCGATGACTGGGGCAAGACAAAATTTTAGCACGATATGACCCACTTTTCCGCCAAATTTTGAGAAAATCTTCGAAAATCTCGCTTTTGGGAGCTTTTGCTCTGGGTGAATCCGATTTTTCTCTCCAGATTGTAAGCGTGAGGAGAGTGACATTGCGAAAGGAAGCTGTACAGCGATGACTGGGGCAAGACAAAATTTTAGCACGATATGATCCACTTTTCCGCCAAATTTTGAGAAAATCTTCGAAAATCTCGCTTTTGGGAGCTTTTGCTCCGGGTGAATCCGATTTTTCTCTCCAGATTGTAAGCGTGAGTGCGAGAGGGACATTGCGAAAGGAAGCTGTACAGCGATGACTGGGGCAAGACAAAATTTTAGCACGATATGATCCACTTTTCCGCCAAATTTTGGGAAAATCTTCGAAAATCTCCCTTTTGGGAGCTTTTGCTCAGGGTGAATCCGATTTTTCTCTTCAGATTGTAAGCGTGAGTGCGAGAGTGACATTGCGAAAGGAAGCTGTACAGCGATGACTGGGGCAAGACAAAATATTAGCACGATATGATCCACTTTTCGGCCAAATTTTGAGAAAATCTTCGAAAATCTCGCTTTTTGGAGCTTTTGCTCTGGGTGAATCCGATTTTTCTCTCCAGATTGTAAGCGTGAGGAGAGTGACATTGCGAAAGGAAGCTGTACAGCGATGACTGGGGCAAGACAAAATTTTAGCACGATATGACCCACTTTTCCGCCAAATTTTGAGAAAATCTTCGAAAATCTCGCTTTTGGGAGCTTTTGCTCTGGGTGAATCCGATTTTTCTCTCCAGATTGTAAGCGTGAGTGCGAGAGGGACATTGCGAAAGGAAGCTGTACAGCGATGACTGGGGCAAGACAAAATTTTAGCACGATATGATCCACTTTTCCGCCAAATTTTGGGAAAATCTTCGAAAATCTCCCTTTTGGGAGCTTTTGCTCAGGGTGAATCCGATTTTTCTCTTCAGATTGTAAGCGTGAGTGCGAGAGTGACATTGCGAAAGGAAGCTGTACAGCGATGACTGGGGCAAGACAAAATATTAGCACGATATGATCCACTTTTCGGCCAAATTTTGAGAAAATCTTCGAAAATCTCGCTTTTTGGAGCTTTTGCTCTGGGTGAATCCGATTTTTCTCTCCAGATTGTAAGCGTGAGGAGAGTGACATTGCGAAAGGAAGCTGTACAGCGATGACTGGGGCAAGACAAAATTTTAGCACGATATGACCCACTTTTCCGCCAAATTTTGAGAAAATCTTCGAAAATCTCGCTTTTGGGAGCTTTTGCTCTGGGTGAATCCGATTTTTCTCTCCAGATTGTAAGCGTGAGGAGAGTGACATTGCGAAAGGAAGCTGTACAGCGATGACTGGGGCAAGACAAAATTTTAGCACGATATGATCCACTTTTCCGCCAAATTTTGAGAAAATCTTCGAAAATCTCGCTTTTGGGAGCTTTTGCTCCGGGTGAATCCGATTTTTCTCTCCAGATTGTAAGCGTGAGTGCGAGAGGGACATTGCGAAAGGAAGCTGTACAGCGATGACTGGGGCAAGACAAAATATTAGCACGATATGATCCACTTTTCGGCCAAATTTTGAGAAAATCTTCGAAAATCTCGCTTTTTGGAGCTTTTGCTCTGGGTGAATCCGATTTTTCTCTCCAGATTGTAAGCGTGAGGAGAGTGACATTGCGAAAGGAAGCTGTACAGCGATGACTGGGGCAAGACAAAATTTTAGCACGATATGATCCACTTTTCGGCCAAATTTTGAGAAAATCTTCGAAAATCTCGCTTTTTGGAGCTTTTGCTCTGGGTGAATCCGATTTTTCTCTCCAGATTGTAAGCGTGAGGAGAGTGACATTGCGAAAGGAAGCTGTACAGCGATGACTGGGGCAAGACAAACTTTTAGCACGATATGATCCACTTTTCCGCCAAATTTTGAGAAAATCTTCGAAAATCTCGCTTTTTGGAGCTTTTGCTCTGGATGAATCCGATTTTTCTCTCCAGATTGTAAGCGTGAGGAGAGTGACATTGCGAAAGGAAGCTGTACAGCGATGACTGGGGCAAGACAAAATTTTAGCACGATATGACCCACTTTTCCGCCAAATTTTGAGAAAATCTTCGAAAATCTCGCTTTTTGGAGCTTTTGCTCTGGATGAATCCGATTTTTCTCTCCAGGTTGTAAGCATGAATGCGAGAGTGACATTGCGAAAGGATGATGTACAGCGATGACTGGGGCAAGACAAACTTTTAGCACGATATGATCCACTTTTCCGCCAAATTTTGAGAAAATCTTCGAAAATCTCGCTTTTTGGAGCTTTTGCTCTGGATGAATCCGATTTTTCTCTCTAGATTGTAAGCGTGAATGCGAGAGTGACATTGCGAAAGGAAGCTGTACAGCGATGACTGGGGCAAGACAAAATTTTAGCAGTACTCTGCGTTGATACCACTGCT